CGCTCTGTTCCTCGGTACGACACACGGAGCTTCCTCGGCGACGACCATGTGAATTCCTTGAGCCAAATGCTCCAGAAGCCAAGCTGGGTTCTCAGACAATTCACCCCATTCCCAGCCAGGCACACAGCAGTCTCCCTTTTTTCCTTCCTGCATCAAAGTAGAAAATGTTCCCAGGGTGGGATTTTGTGCATTTGGCTCAGCATCCATTCTGACCGAAACGCTCCAAGCTTCATGTAAATGGAAATCCAATTGCGAACTTCATTAATATCAGGGTTAAACGCTGATAAAATGATGTTCTTGAATTCGAATTCTTCACAGTGCGAATACATTCGAAATACTCGAATCGTATCAGATTCAATGAACGGTGACTGTCAGCTGACATCGGTTTTATTCATGTACTTCATCAAAAATATCAAGTACATTCTTGTCCAAATAATAGGAAACCGGATGAATATGATGTCACTCCTGCTTGCTAAATGGTTGTGCGTGTTCCCCTTCTGGGATGTAGGTACTTCAGGTAGGTTCATGGCACACCTGCGATCTACCCTGCATGGACAAGAAAGAAAGCGCTTTTTCATAATAGGGAATGGAAGGCCACAATGCGCACACGAACTTCCCAGGTACTTCGCACATAAACGTCTTTCGGATACCCTCCAAATATTTATTGTCATTCCTATAGATGCTGTTCATGTTCTGGGGGGCTAGTCGTGGATGCTGTCATCAAGTTCCTTTATAGTATTGAGTTTAACTGGAAGACTTATAGCTTCGCCACAGAAAAGAATGTTCATGCAATGAGAATGAGTAAAATACCGAGTAGCCCAAAAAACGCATCCTCTTTGATGCTTTATAATACCCACAGCGGATGATCCATTTTCATGATGTTTTCGTATCACAAGGAAGACAACATTTGTTTTCTGAGTTTCATGTAATTAGGATGTTTGAATAAAAATCGATAATCATTCAAAGTGAAGTCATAAATTATACCTTTTTCGCGTTTGAAGTGGATGGAGTTGCAGCACTGCTTGAGTAATTCCTCTCATTTGCCGCCATAGAGACACATTTTTACGCCAATGCTCTTGTCGTAGTATTCTACACTTCGTAGAATAGTACTACTGTCTTTCATAGTAAAATCTGAATCGATTCCACACAGAATACTATGATGACAACTGGCATAAAGAGAGGCATTTTTGGCGTCAACAGAGAGAAATCATTCGAGAAACGGTAATATAGATACTCCATCCAATCATGCGCGGAAAAGGAACATTTGATGACTCCGCTTTGAACGACTGTCAAATTTTTTTCCAGAGCACCTTGATGCATGCAACTTTCAGGAAGCAAATTTTGTGGTGTTTCCAATGTGAGACGCAAGCATCACGAGCCTAGATCATCCACAGCGAGTTGTGTTAAGCGGGCGCGTTTTCTTGGGGCCGCCCGGTATTTTTCCCTCCAGAGCTTAGGTTCCAAATTTACCTGGGTATCTGCCATCCTTCATTCTTCCTCTAGGCATAGTTCCATGCTCCCATCAAATGCCTCAAGCAGACTCCCATCCAGGCTGGCTCTGAAAAGTGACATTCATACAGAAAGTTGCATGAATCCGGAAATACTTGGATTAGGGCTGCAATTGTAAGATTCAAGCATAAGAATGTTCCATCTTCCAATTCCTCAATTTTTCAGTCAACCCCGTCGTCTTATGTAGTTTGGGGGTTCAATTAATCTTACTTCCCGCCATTTAATTATCCCTTTCATGCTTTTGCAGGGTTTCACAAAAATCGAATCTTCATTCTGACAACGTTACTTCCAGCATATCAGCGCTTGACCTCTAGAAGAAAATATTAAACACTATTATAGTCATGCTATGTCCTAGTTTCGCTCTCCTATTTGTCGAGGACAATTGTATTTGTAGAAGTGGAAATATAAGTATATATATTTATTTTAAAGAATGGGTTCACAATTGTGCAATTTCTCCTCTGTAGAGCAGGAACCGTCGCAATATATAGGGTGGCCATAAAAAAATTACACTTTTGAAGGTCAATATCTCCGGAACAGAAAGGCATGGAACAGTGAGATTTTAAGGGGATACTCAGGGGGTCATGTGATTTTATTTGAGACTAGGTAATGACTCACTGGGCGTCAGATTCTATCGTGTGATGCGCCTCTATCCTCCTCTCCGGAGACATGCTGTCAGGCGATCCTATGAGATCTTGGGCTGTGTTCGACTCGGATGGAATTCCTGATGTCCATCCACTCGTACGATCTTCGAACTCCAGATTAACAAGAGAGACGATCTTTGCAGCGGAGAGAAGTTCCCATGACCCTATGTTAGAATTTATCAATAAAAAATTCCAGCTTAGAATACCAGACGAATGTACCATACATTTTTAGTGTTGACTGTACTGCCCAGGAAAAATTAATTGACTTTTTTTGTTATCGAGGTTTTTTTCTCAGGTAAGAAAGAATGCTCTGTCGCTTGCTATATAATGCTGAAACATCACAGAAACACTTAAAGTCACTCCTGCAAGCCAACCTACAATGAATAGATCCTGCAATAAAAGCTCTGGAGTTATATTTCTGGTCTTGATTGATAATAACTAGCAAGGGCCCAATAGATAATAGCTACTATTAAATATCGTTCATTCATTGTAAGTGTAATGAATCAATAATTTTGTGCTGGGATCGCATTGTTATATAACGCTAATGCTGAGATAGCTATTTGATAACTATATCTAGAACCAGAGCGATAGCTATTGCAAATGGGTTAAGATCTGATTATTTCTTGAGTGGTATTTCCAATAACTGTTCATATTCATCCTTTGGGCCTTTAATGAGAACTTCAATTATCATACTTCAGTTCGGAGAACAGCTTTAAATAAAAAGGTCAAAGTTTTGATTTAACAAGTTCTTAGTGACATTTGACTTGATACGAGCCATATTAATTTAATAAATGACTAATCAAATTAGCTTAGTCTCTATTTCATTTTCTCAGCCAGTCAAGAGAAGTGAATGGAAAATAAAATAAAAATAAATATACTGACTGAGTCGAACATTGGAAAGCATCCATCCGTCCTTTGCCTTCAAGCTTGTCAAAACGTCCCTAAGTGAAAGGATGGATGAGGCCAGACCCTGGATCCTTGACCCGCTGCAAATCACGGCGTAGGAATGGCGCTGAGTGAAGGGGCTCCCTGATGAGGAAAATAACTTCACATCATAATTTTGTCCTCTTTCGCTATGTTAGTGAGAACTTGAATATGTCACCTTTCCTTGGAGCCGCATTAATAATCACCACACCGGTCCTTGATTGTGGTCCTACAAGTGCTCCCTGTATCGCAGCAGCAACTTCAATCTCCTCAGTTATGAAGGCGATGGGTATTTCCCTTGGTGCTTTAAGAAGGGTCTGGTCCTCCTGAAGTTCCAACACACTTTCTTTTGCCTCATCAAAGCTCTGAGAAAAGACATTACATATGCAAATTATGTTGGACCTGCAGGCAAAATACTCATACCAAGAAAGTCATTGCAGACACCTTGATTGAGAAGGCTGCTGCACAGAAATGTTCCTTAAAAACACCTTCAGGGAGCCCAAATACATTTCCTAGGATCATCTTGACTTCGTAATCTGGAGTTTTCCGCATTGTTTCATTGATTTCGCCATTCGTGCAGCGCTGTACATAACTTTTCCATTCCAGGTTTTTTTCTGCGTTTTTCCTTTTAAGGTATGGTTGCAAGGCTTGTTCCGTGAGATGACTAGAATAGGTTTCTAGTTCATCTTTGCTCACCCCTGCCAACCTTTTAGAAAAATACTCTGTAAAATAAAATAATTTGTACTTCTAACCCAGGAAAATTCAAACTAACTTCATGAACGATGCTGTCAGCCGTCTGATCAGAGATATCTTCTCCAGCATTTCTCCTAGTTTTTTCAAGTCTGTGCTGCTCTCCACTTTCTTGATGTTTTCCTGTTGTGTGATAGAATTTTAGATGTAAATATGCATAGTTCAGGATCAATAGCGTGATATGGTACTCCTTCAAGTTCCCAGGAATCCTTAAAAATGCACCAAATGTTTCAAGAGAGTAGTATCTTCTTTGAAGACAATCTTGGAAAAAGCATGTTCATATCCAAAAAAAGGAAAAATAAGAATCGGTTGGGGGATGGGGGATTTCTGAAGCGCTTGATCTAAAGAGACATTGTACATTGATTTGAGGGACTAGCTTGATTATGAACAATCGGATGAGCTTCAGTTCATTTTAATATTACGGGTAACAAACCATTGCATAACCTTTACAAGTCTAAAAGCTCAGAAAATCGGAAAATCCAGATAGATCACTTGACTTCTTCAGACCAATAAGAAAAGTTTGTTGGGTATGCAATTATGGACATGATATTACTCAAGCCAGGAAGTCCTGTGCTGTGATATATGGGCTCGCCAAGACACGTAGATGATATAGCTTCTTCCCATTGCACCCAGGCTCTCTTTCCTCTGTCTTCTTAGCAATCATAATAAATTCATCCACTGTTTCTGTTCCCATAGCTTGTTCATAGCAGCTTGTTCAATACTTGGTGTGTTCTTTTCCCCTTGAAAGGAAACTAAAGAAAACGCCTTAATTGCACGTTTGCTTTAAGGGGTGACGATCAGTAATAATCCTTCCAGAAAAGAGGAAGATTCAGTTACAAACAGTTCTACTGTAAAAAAAAATAATTCCAACTAAGGCATCGGAAACAGGGTTTCCGTCGAATGCCTGCAGTAGGGGATTACGATTCTCAGCATAAACCACGTCTCCTATTTTTTAACGTAAACATGCAGTTCCAAGAAAAACCTCGGAATCGATCCCTCCGACTAAAGCGAGTAATGGAGCTTTCCTCTCATTTACGCAAAATTCCAATCCCACGGCGGAATCGGGTTTCCGTTCAGGGAAGTAAATTTCATTCTCATTCTGGTTTTCCTTAATTACCTTCATTATTCAAAAATAGCTCCTTTCTATTTGAAATACTCCATCATCAATTAGATTTGATTTCGTCACGCGACTTCCACTTATCAACCCATATTTGGTGCATCTTTAACACGGAGGAGCTGTAACTTCTATTCACTAACGCGATTATTCGATACCTTCTTACTTCGTTTTATCACGACACCGACACACGGAGAGACATGAAAAGCTGAAACCAGGCATGGACGTGCCTACTGAGATGATGCGTTCAGGATAAGTGCGAACTTTTTTAACCATGCCATGGGGAGATTTTTTGGGGGGCCGACGTTTTCAAGCATTTTTTTTCTCCTGGCGTGTTGAGCTAGTGCGGAAAAATGAAACTTAGTACATAACTACTTATTGGGATGCTGCAGAAAACTTCAGACTTTAGAAGTAAATGCCCTGGGGGCACAAATTTCAAACGGAGATACTTTCAAATAATTTTTTGCATTGGTTAAACCAACGAACTTGGAAAGCTGAAACTATGCATGAATGTGGCTACTGAGACATGGAGTTGAAGAAAAATGTTAAGTCTCGAAACATCCCCTGGGGGAATTTTTTTTGGGGGCGATGCTTTGAAAACAGAATTTGTCGGGGCAAATTGGAAATAAATGGAATGGTGAAACTTGGCACACGTATAAGTGACATGATATTGAGTTGAGGGAGTATTCAGCTATCATTGTGTATCCCATCCGGGCTAAGCTTCTGGGTGGGTCGGCTTTTCCAAACATGATTTTTCACCAGCGAAAGATTTCCTCTCGCCTCTTCCACCGTTGGGGTGTTGATCTGGTTGGCCCACTCAACGCGTCAAAGGAGGGAAATTCTTACCTCTGTGTTTTTACGGAGTACTTGACGAGGTTAGTATTGTAATAAAAATTATTATTGATACATACATGTATAAAATATACATATATATTTAGATATTTTTCAATGTTATATGGGTATCGTGTGCCTGAAACACTCTTCCAGCTTCGTCTTCCATTAGATGGGCCGAAGCTTACCCGATTCCTGACAAGACAACTGCTTTTTGTAGCAGAGTGCCTGATAGACGTCATTTCTCGCTTTGGGGTCAAGGATAATCTCCTACACGACCAAGGCAGGGAATTCAACAACCAGTTGAATGATGCCATCAGAGAGCTTTTTGGGATAAAGAAGTGTATGACCTCGCCCTATCATCCACAGACTAACGGTAAGGATTGTCATTAATGCATGGCAGTTACTCGTAGCTGTAAGGATTGAAAGGCAGTTTTTGATAGTCGATATAATTCATTTCATTTGTCCTCAGGGCTCACTGAGAGATACAATCAGACATTAATTGCGAAGTTGACTGCCCACATGACTGACCGAGGTGATGATTGGGAGACACACCTCAGGAGCGTCATGATAGGGTACAGGTGGAAGGTGCAATGCTCCTCCAAATTTACTCCGTTCGAGCTCATGTTCGGGGTGGATTCGCGTTTCCCCTACGAGCTCGACAGTCCCATCACCTCAGAAGACCTTGCCGATCCAATCTGGACTGAGGAGACAGGAGAAGAAATTGAGAAGAGGATGGGAGAAATTGAGCTTCGACTGAAGAATAGGAGACAAGAAAGTCTGTAAAACCTGGAGAGAGCTCAAGAAAAGCAGAAGGACGTCTACGACCTAAAGAGGTCGGGACCTGCCTTCAATGTTGGAGACAAGGTTCTGAAGCGGAACGCGAGGAAGGACATGCGCATGGGAGGAAAATTGGAAGAGAGGTAATTATTTTATCATTGTTTTTTGTCAGTAAATATTGTATTCTCTTGTGGTGATCCTCAAACATGCATTTCTACTTTAGAAAGCGAACTCCGTGCATTTCCATTGAGGGAGGGGGGAAAATATCACGAGGGGGGAAAAATATCATACGACACCGGTCGAAGCGGCTCCGGTCGACCTGCCGTCAAAACGCTGGATCGACTTCGGCGCCGTCATCCGTGATAACAAGCTGTTCGCAGTCATGTGTGACGAGTTCATCCAGGAGATGAAGATGCTGGCGAATGCCCTGAAGAGGAAGAAGCGGCCCCTGGCACCATTCGCCGCATGGGAAGTGGAGGAACAGATGGACGAAGCCCTCGAGTTCGAGCTCGTCTCGGAGGAGGAGCAGATTCGCCGGGAGGAGCGTCGTCTCGCGAAGCGGAAACTAGGCAGCGACCAGGACGAAGACTACGAACAAGACTTCTCGTCCGAACCGAGTTCGACCACTTCGTCGGACTCCTCCCCGCCGGACTCGTCGAGCGACGAGGACTTCGTGGTCCGGGGCGCCGGGTGGCCTCGAGGACGTGCCAAGCGCCGCCCCGGCCCCGTCCCCGGTCGCGCCCGCGGCTACAAGCTGCGTCCCAAGCGCCGCAAGCAAGAGAAGTACTACACGAGCGACTCCAGCGACGTGGTCGAGAGACGTGGCCCTCCCGCGAAGACTCCCGCCAAGAGAGGCCCCGACCGCCATCCTGGGAAGAACTCCCTCTCTCTTCTTCGAAGAGAAAACTGGATCGCCTCCAGCTTCCAATACTGCTCCGTCTATTACGGAGAGGGAAAGTCAACCCCCTCCTCCCCCCGACTCCCCCCCCCCCCCACTTGCCTTCTTTCCCCTCCCCGATCACTCGAGACCTCTCCACCCCATATCTCCATTATCACCGGCCTTTTTTTTTCTTGGGGATTTATTTGGGTGGAGAGAAGGGAGGCAGTCGGAATTTTTTTTGAGGGGGAGGGGAGGGGGATCGGGGGACGAGGGGCTGGTGGGGGGAGTTCTTTGCGATCTTTATAGATTTCGGCATGAAACAGGATCGTAAAATGTCTTCGGATCAGGTTTCCCCCCGAGAAAGGCAAACGATGAAATCCTGAAAAATAATCTCTAAACGACCGAAAATTCCTTAATGACCTTATCTTGATGACCTCTTATTTAATTTCGAGACAATTACAAGTGTTAATAATTATTACTTTTGCAAGTTTAAGACGAAATCAGGCATTGCCCAAGGTGCGCATCCCGATGTGAATTTCTCCGACATCCACCATGGCACCAGGGAGTTCTTCCAGGTATGTTTTTCAAAAACCATGAAAATACGAATAATTATATTTATACATATGTGAATATATATGAATAATTGTGGAAGACGTTATTTCCTCTCGGCAATTATATTCAATTCCCGTTTTTCTCTTTTGCTTTACTTCCGTGATGTTAAAAATGTGGTCTATTGTAATACTGTTATTAATTACCTGTAATATATAATGTCTGACGTCACCGTATCTTGGAGCTTCCCAAGTTATCAAGTACTGAAATCGAAGAAGCGGTATATTTTTTGTGTCCCTCATAAATGAAACGTTGCGCAAGGCCGAGGCTCTTTTCGGGATGCGACGGGCAGACGAATGCCATAAATTCGGCCGGTTTTTTTTTTCTTCCTCGTATTTAAGATGCCGAATCAAAGGCGGCCGGTCCGGCCGAGATTCGCGTGTACGGGAATTCATTGGGTTTCACCTGCCCCGGTCCGATTCATGAGAGCCGCAGACTCACTCGGCAAGTCGGTAGACTTTGTGATTTGTCACGTTTGAGTCTGTGTTTGAATTGTGAATTGATTGTGTTTAAATTGATCACATCTGTTCAGTACCTAATCATGTTCAAGTTAGTCATGAAATTTATTTATAAATTGGTGAAATATAAATTTAGCATATAAATAAATATAATATAATATAATATAATATTGAAAAATATATAAGAAATGTTGGGTTTGTTGTAGGTTCTCCCAAGCACGACACGGTTCTTCGAGACACAGCCGACCGTGGAGCCCAGGTACACCCAGTCGATGCAGGACACCCTGAAGCACCAGGAGTTGCAGCACGCGCAGCACCTGCAACAACAGCACCAGTCGGAGCACGCTCTCAGCTCGTGGAGCGCGTACGCCGCGGAGCAAGGTCGGCAGTACGAGGCGAAGTACGCGCAGGTGGCGAACGGTCGGGATCTGCAGAACAACCCGCGGTACCTGGCCTTCGTCAGAGATGGGATCAAGACGAGCGCGTACCGGGAGAAGTACGCGGCGCAGCAGCAGTACGTGATCCCGGTGGCGGACGCGAGAAGCATATCATACTTGCACCAGATGGAGCGATACGACAAACCGGTGACCTACGCGAAACCGGACGTGCTGTCGGACGCACGGGTGCCGTATTCGGTGCAGCCCGAGTCCAGGCCCCAGGTGTACCAGCCGCCTCGAGCCCCGCTCCCGCAGAACCTGAGCGAGTCGCAGAAGAAGCAGATTGCGGTCGGCCTGTCGACGCAGCCGGGAGCCGCCTTCGTCGCCAACCCGTACATCGACAGCCGGACCGGCCGGCCCAACTACGAACTGATCCAACAGCACCATCGCGGCATGACCCTCCCGCGTGACCTCCAGCCGCACGGGAGCACCCTCCAGACGCACGCGAGCGCCCAACATCCGCAACGCGCCGCCCATCCCAAGCCGGAGTATGCGCCGGTGAACCAAGTACCCCAGCTTCCTCGGTCTACCAGCAGCCGGCGCCGGACCCGAGCGCCGGCTACCTGATGCTAAAGGCACAGAAGCGGGAGTCTCCGTTGGATCTGTCGGTGAAGACGGTGCGCCAGAACGCGGATTCCACGCGCATCTGTCGGGCGAGGACGACCCGGCTCGCTTCTATCAGCAGTCGCACGCCCCGGACGCGTCGCATCCGGCGGGGAAGATGGAGCCGGTGCCGCTGGTTCGACTGGGGTCGAGATCCTCCGTTCCGCTGAACCAGTCTCCCAGTCCCGGCATGACCAGTCCGTGGGGCGCAGCCAGTCCGAACGTGGGACCGTACGGCTACCGACCGGGAAGCTCTCCGTCTCCCATGCAGACTTACTGGACCAAGTGGAACGCGGCCAAGACCCAATCGGACCGACTCTACAAACAAGAGGACCCCGCAGGGACCATCCCCGAAAACCGAGCCTCGCCCGCATCCCGGCATCATGTCCATGGTCGCCCTGCGGCAGTCGCCGGTCCCTGACCGCATACGGCCGTCTCCGGTGACCGTTCCCCATTACGGATCCGTCGTCTGCGGCATCCCCTTGACGACCCGCATGGACGACCACCGACCCCCTTTCTACGACCAGAGTTACCCCCGCCCCGAATACCGACCCGGCGACCCGACCCAGCTGAACTCCCACTGCATGTACCACCGCCCCCACCTCTCCCAAAACGGCTGGTCGACCCAGCAGCCCTGCGCCCCACCGAAGCAGCCGGCCCCGGTGCGAACCAAGGCCCAGATGAAGCAGGTGCAGCAGATCCTGCCCGTCGAGCCGGGTGAGATCCGGCTCGGCCCCCCGATGCAAAGGCCCCTGGTCGGATCCCCGTCCAGTCCGCCCAAACTGGTGAAGCAGGTCGGGTCCGGCAAGCAGAGGGGCCTGGTCCGGAGCGACCACTCCATCTTCGACTTCAAGGACAGCGAAAGCGACAGCGAGATGCCGGTCTTGGAGAAGCAGGGCTACGAACCGATCAAGCGCAAGTTGGAGGCGATGGCCGCGGCGGCGATGGACGGGACTTAGGTAGACGGGACTCCAATGGATGGGACTCCGGTCGAAGGGGCGCCGGTCCAAGCGGCTCCGGTCGACCCGCCGTCGAAACGCTGGATCGACTTCGGCGCCGTCATCCATGATAACAAGCTGTTCGCAGCCAAGTGTGACGAGTTCATCCAGTAGATGGAGATGCTGGCGAATGCCCTGAAGAGGAAGAAGCGGCCCCTGGCACCATTCGCCGCATGGGAAGTGGAGACAAGTGGAGATGGAGAAAGTCCTCGAGTTCGAGCTCGTCTCGGACGAAGAGCAGATTCGCCGGGAGGAGCGTCGTCTCGCGAAGCGGAAACTAGGCAGCGACCAGGACGAAGACTACGAACAAGACTTCTCGTCCGAACCGAGTTCGACCACCTCGTCGGACTCCTCCCCGCCAGGGACGGAAGCTGGATCTCATGCAGAGCAAGGAGGCTCTCGCCGCCTTTTACCAGGAACGCGGCCTGGAAATCCCCGCTGCCCTGAACGGCTACGTCGACGCCGCCCCGGTCGTCCTGGACAACTGGACCAGGAAGCAGACCCAGGACGCCCCGATCAGGGAGGTTTTCGGGGAGAACGCCTCTGAGAGGCCCGGTCCAGGGCGCCCGCCCTCCAAGTACTCCAAGCACCTGAAGCTCCTCGACTCCCTGAAGCACCTCGAGCCATCCACCTCCGGCCGGCCGAAGAAGCTCTTCCGGCGGAAATTTCGGTCCGGCTTCGACTACATGAGGAAGAGCGGGAAGAAGAAGAAACGAGAGGACGCGGCTCCACAGCCGCTCAGGAAGAAACGAACCGTGAGTCTTGGGATAGCTCATTGAGCATTCTCATTAAGCGAAGTCATCTTAAGTCGTCGGCCGCATGTAATTCCGGGTCGCCGGGACTTCATTACCCGTCAAATATTCATGGGAGATCAAGCTTCGATCACAGGGAAGTCCTTAATTAGATCCGTGGGATGAGATTATCTCGTAATTAGATGAGACGAGAGCCGAGTAAACTGGAAAACGCGGTTGGACGCGCCGGCTCCGAGCGGGCGCAGGAGCCACGGGACGGGGAGGATGGGAGGCACATCGGAGGGGAATCAGAGCGGCGAAGACAGGTGGAAAGGGAGAGGGAGTGCGATCCCCGCCGATGGCGTCACCGAGCTGCATTATGCATCTAGATACGATCGGCCGTGCGCTTATCGCCTAACCGCGCTCCTGCCTCCGCATCCCGCCGATGTTGCATCGTGTGACGCATGTCGCCGAGTCGCGCTCCCGCGTCCGAACGGCCTCGCTGCGC